GCCCAGAAAAGAAAAGCTCTTCCCACCCCTTGCTTAGCCAAAGAATCTGCCAGGGAATTAGCACACCTTTTAGTCCACTGAAACTGAACTTCCATGTTTTGAGTCAAATGTTTAATTTTCTTTTTCTCATTCAAGTATTTCCACAAACTGAAGTCTTCCTTCTGCAGCCACCTAATAACCAGGCTCGAGTCACCTTCCACCACCAATTTCTTTATAATGGTTAATGGCTTAAAAACCACCTAGCTTGAATGTATGTGCATGCATGTGGAAGTATATCTTATGGGCATAGTTGTCAAGGTGACACCTAGGCAACAAGGTGCTCATGGAGGATCACCTTGCTTAATCACCAAGCTAATTTGTGTATATCACAACGAAATACTTTTATATTCTTAATATTTTGAAAATATAATAATAAAATAAACACTGTTAAACTAAAATGTTCATTCTGTGGATTTATATACTAATTTCTTTTATTATTTTGTTATTTGTTAGGGTTCAATCAACACACATGTTGATGCATGCTGTCTTCATCCCTCAAAAACTTAAAAAGTAAATGCCTGAACAAGTAATATGAATTTTCTTTTCTTTCTTCTTCTTTCTTCTCATGAATATGTTGATTTTCTATATTTGAATATGACGTTTAGATTTTATGAAAATCATAGATAATTATTAATGAATGATGGTTACTAGTTGCTAAGGAACCTAGGGAACTACCTTAGGATTCAAGTTTAAAAAAAAAAAAAAAATTCCATCGCCTAGGCAACTAGGTGACTATGCACCCCACTGTCGCCTAACCTCCCCTTGAAGCCTTGAAAACCATGGTTCATGGGAACTTTGCACAAAAGACCTGTTGAACAAAATTCCCTACTAATGATCCTTCTGTAGGACACATTTACTTGACCATGTCATTTTAATCATGAGCCAACTTCCATTAAAAGCAGAAAGTACAGGTAATATGATGGAAGCTGCAACAGAAAAAAAATTACATCTATCTGCATTTCTCAAAGATCATAAGGACAAAACAACATCAAGCAATATCAACAACAACAACGAAAATCAGAAGAAATTTAACAATTAACATGTGTAAGATGCAAATAATAGCAATGCGAAACAAACAAGGTACCTTCTCCACCCTCCGCTGGCATAGCCACTGTCCTCCATACTTTCTTTCTCCGGAAGGACATCAACAATAACTCCTGCTTTAGCAGATTCACCTGTGTCAACCATCATCTTTACAATTCCTTTGAATTTGCGTTTGGAAAGATCTGCTAATCCCAATCTGCCATCCAAAGCCCCCCGAAGATCCTTCGTCAACTGCACTCTCCCCTTGGAAAAAGTCCTAATAAACCCAACTCGAACGATTATGTTCCTTAATCTAGCGTTGTATAACATCTAAAATAAACGACCAGAACTTCGTGTTCGTCAAATACCAGAACTTCGTTTTCGTCAACGACAAAACTGCATAGAAACACCGCAGCCCCTCCGCATGAGCTAAACTAAGCTTTAAATCAAGATCAATGTATCCTCTACAGATAAAAAAAAAAATACGAAAGCACAACAACAATAATGGTAATAATAACAAAGGAATGAACACAGATAATCTACCAATCTTAATTACAACAACTGATTGGATCCTCCTTCCAAACTCTTAACTCAGAAAAATCGTATTAAGAGCTAATCCCCCGATATTAGTTCCCGATTTGGCTTATCAGCGGTTCAATAAATGAATCAGATCTCTTAGAATCTGAAATCCTTCGTACGGATGCATGTATCTCCCTTAAATCATCAATCTTTACTGGGAATGGCAACCATACGAAAACAGTTTCGGAATCTTTCTTACAATTCGAGGATTTAATTATAGTTACGAGGACCAGAACTAATATAAGAATCCTCCGATAGATCAGCTCCAATCAGTCATAAGACTCATAACTTTAGAGGAAAGCACTCCCGGTCACTAAAATCGAAAGGGCATTGAAACCCTAAAAGAAATGATCGAAAATCACTCTGAGTCTGAGGTAGATTTATGAACAACGGAGCCGAGAGAGAGACAGACGCCTGGCTCCTGTGGGCTAGCACTGCAAAAGGGAACAACAACGTGGCAGTGCTCATGCACGTCGCTTGAACTTCTTTCCGTGCCTCCTCATTCTCACATGTACAACCACGTGTACGATCACGGATGGTTCTCGCTTTAGCATTGGCGGGAGGCGACTGAAACTGAAAATTAACGTCCAGAGTCTTATTTCTATTGGCTTCTGATATTATTAATTTATTATTACGTATTCTCAGTAGTTATTGGCACTCATGCAGCGTTTTTTGGGCGTTGTATGAGCACAGAAACCCGAATTTGGAATGGCTTCCGTTTACCGGAAAACGTTGCCACATAAGTGCCAGCGAGGCAATTTCGTTTTTTTCTGATCAACGGGAGTTGCTTGGTATCGTTTATCACAAAAAACCCTAGAAAATGATCTCGACGTATTTTGTTTCGTTTATATTTATTAAATAAACGTTTATATTTATTTGTTGGTAAAACCAAAAATTATAATAATTATAATCGTTTATAATAACTAGCGTCACTAGATAACATTTCAAGGTAATAATGAATAAATGCATGACCATTTGTGTAAGCTTTAAAAAATAATTTATACAAACGACTGACATGCATGCGTTAACTAAAGTTAACCTAAAAGTAACCAAACACTCCGTATGGGAAGCGAAAAAAGACCGCTTCCCAATGGGATAGTGACGTAGATCCGATATGACAAATGATGTGGCTTGCATAAAAAACATTACAGTGCTTTGCGGTGTATGAAAGGAATATGCACTAAACCCTAACTTACTCGTTCTTCCCCCTCCTCGAACTATCGTTGCCATTCCCACACACTGCTGTTTCTCCAACTCTTGTCATCGGTTCTGCCATTCCCACTGCCGCTGTCATTCGGCAGTTCCCTTCCCATCGTTTTTCCTTTCTCCTCTACTAGTTTTCGCCCTTTTTTTTCTCAATGGTTTTTGATCTATTGCAGGTGATATCCATCTCATCTCAAACGTTCTTCTCCTCAGTTTGCGATACTGTCACCGGTAGGTTTGATCTCATCTTCTTCGTTCTTCCCATTTTTTCTGTCATAGGCATCAGATTACAGAGGATGTTGATATATGTTATTTTTTTTTAACATATGTTAATCCATTTCCCTGTTTCGATTGTCATTAGTATGGAAAATGGATCGAAACAATTTCGGCCATCCGATTGAGATTGACGGTCAGATGAGTGGAATTTATGAGTATATGTCACACACCCAATTCAATTTTCAACAACTGAAAACGTCAACGAAAAAAATGATACCAAATAGTTGGCATTGGAGGAAACACTTTTTAAACGCACATGCGGCATGTATTTGAATAAACGGTGCCAAATAGTCAAAAAATAAACGATCTGAAAACGTTTTTCGTTAATAAACGTTGCATCCACGTTTATCCTCGAAAAACATGAACCCCAAATGGAAGCCATACTGAACACCATATCAGGGGAATTTTGGAACCGTAGCCATTTTTCAAAAAAATGGTGTCACGTCGGATCCACATAAGCATTTCAACAATTGGTGAACTGTTTCCCCTAACGGTTGACTGATGAAAATCACCTTACCAAACAGTATAGTATTGTTCACTACCTATTTTTTTTGTGAAAAATGGGTCTCGGAAGCATGGGCATTTTTTCTTTAAAATTGGTCCAAAAAAGCACCAACGCTTCCAAACACCATGTTAATCTATTAATCCTCACAAAATCGTTCTCACACAGTCCTCATACCCTTTTTTTTAAGTAGTGCATCGGTAACTTGTATGATTTTATTCATCGGGAATATTCACAATCAGTTTTCAAACCGTCGTTGACGTACAAGTAAAGAAATCTATCCATTGATAATAAAAAGAAAAAACGTGAACGGTGATTGGATTGATGATAAAATAGAATCCTGGGTCGCGAACAGTGATTCGATTGATGATGAAGAAAGAGAATTCTTGTTTCAGTTCTCCACCTTAACGACAGAAAAAAKGATTGATCAAATTCTATTGAGTCTGACTCATAGTGATCATTTATCAAAGAATAACTCTGGTTATCAAATGATTGAACAACCGGGATCAATTTACTTACGATACTTAGTTGACATTCATAAAAAGTATCTAATGAATTATGAGTTTCGAACAGTCTTACCGTTCAGCTCGATAACCATCTATTCAACTAGTTCCATTTTACCCTAAGGGGATGTTTGGAATTGTGGCCGTTTTTCAAAAAAAAAAAAAACTATGCCACATCGAATCCACATAGGCGTTTCAACAAACGCCCATGTATCTCATTGTTTGGTTCAGCCGATTATTAAAAAATTGAGCATGTCTCAAAAATCGAGGCCCCACCGATGCATGAAACGCCATCAGTGACCCATTTCCCCCAATGGTTGACTGATGTGTATCCTATGTGGTGCTTACCTGTCAGCACATACATGAAAAATGGTGATGAAAATCACCTTACCAGACAGCATAGTGTTGCTCATTGCCTACGTGGCTGAAGCATTTTTTTTGTGAAAAACGGGTCTTGGAAGCATGGGCGTTTTTTTCTTGAAAACCGGTCACAAAAAGTGCTCACGCTTCCAAACACCATGTAAATCTGTTATTTGGCCAAAAATTGTTGGCTTGCTCAATGACCTGTTGACACAAGCGATTAAACTGTTAACTCATTCACCCCAAATAATAGTTTTTTTGCCATTTTATTTTAATTATTTTTATTTTTTTTAAATAGAACAAATTATTCATTTGAACCAAACAGTCAAACCATTGACCCATAAATCGATGGCCAAAGTGGTTCTTGTTCTATGTCGATTGTTAAAACATTGTTCCCAATGCACAGCTGCAAGTGGGTGTAAGGACATTGTGAAAGACAGTTTTATGAAGACTTAATCCAAATTCTAGAAATCCAAAATGGATTTGGTAATAATTTCCAAAAGCAAAAATTGGTGTAAATGAAGACACTGTAGGTAGCTTTTCTAAAGCGGCATTTTAGGTGTTCCATGAATTGAGAAACCTAGAACTAGGGATGCAACTTGGATGGACTTGGATTGGGATTGGACAAATTTCTTAAATTACCTTAATTTAACTAATTGAGTAACCCTGCCCTATTGTTTATATACTGTAAAGTATCCCTTTTTTTTTTTGACAATTATCAAATTTATCATCCACTTTTCCTAAAATTTTCAAAATTAAACCCAAATGATGAAAAATTTGCCCTCCTCCCAGAATTATGATACTAATCAATAGTCGACAGAATTCCCAAAAATCCCAATACATCCTAAATATTAACCGTCAAACTATAACACATATCAAACAGAAGAAAAACGAATAGGAAGCAGAATTTTAGGGTTTTAGATCACAAATAACATAAGAACGTTCAATCACAGATGAATCAAAATTACTTGAGTTTAACAAAAATTAAGGTACAAAGCTTATGCCGATCCTCAATGCTAGAAGGTTCTCCTTTTCCCAGAAACCGGTGTCGATCCGTGGTCGATCGTCATTAAACCCATCAACATTCAACAATGTTAGCAAGAGATTTGTGAAATAGTATAATGTCAAGAACTTCTGTGTAACTGTGTTTATCAAGCTGGTCGTAGTTGAAGCCTTAGATCTGCTATTCAATTTCGGCTTTCGAGTAACTGTGTCGCAATGTTCTATTTTTCTTTTACTCCTTCACTTTAATTATTTTTTTTCGAAAGCCCACTTTTGGTTATAAATGTAGGAATGGTGAAGCTAGATTTGTTTTTGTTGTTTGGGAGAGAAGGAACAATGTTGGCAATCAAAACTGTGTTGGTTATGATGGAGATAAGAAGAGATAAGGTGATGGGGTTTGTGGGAATTCAAACTGGTTTTGGATCCTTTGGAAGGCGAAGGTCGTTGAGGAAGACTTGGATGCCTTCTGATAAGCTAGCCTGCGTTTTCGATGGAAGCGGCAGTTTCGTTCAAATCTTGAATGCAATGGCAAACCGAGCTCTTCACAACGGCAAATCAAACGAGACAGCGGCAAACCAATCTCTTTTTTTTATTATCTCGCGCTCTTTATCTCTCTATCACCCTCTCTTGGCCATCCATCTATTTCCCCTCCCCTGTTATCATCTCCACCCACCACCGCCATTGCAATCTTCAGCAGCGACGATTTTCTTCTATTCTGTAATAATTAGCTATCACACTGCAATAATTATCATCCAGAGAACAATTATAGAAAGATAATTCGATTCTAACTCAACTTAGTAAGCAAATAGTTCCCCGATTCAAACAAGTGTCACTTAAATTATAGCTAACAAATCCAAACAAGTAATAAATATTAAAGAGGCAAAAAAGAATGACTCCCGGGTTATTTTTGACGAATTGCATCTGATTGTTGCATGGTACACGTAAACACAACTAAACAGCACATGGCAATTGCATGGTGTTGGAGAAGATGGGGTCATTGTAATTTGGAGGAGAAGCTATTAGGCGCGTCTGAAGACATTGTCTTTAGAACATTATTTGTCCCTACTTAGTTTTAATGAGTTTGTTGTTGGGTCACAATTTCAAACATTGTAACTGTTTAAAAAGTAGTTAATAGTTGGTGACTGTTAACTTTGAATTGTGCCTCTTGATCACACCCAATCGAATCGTGACCGTTGATCTCATCAACGGTGATCAACAGTCAGCAATGCACCAAAACCAAAGCTGCCCATCGCGAGCCACGTGGGTGCAAGCAAAGTGTGCCTCTAAAGCGCCTCATTGCGTCGCACACACGCGTGCGCACGCGTTGCGCGGTATCGAATCTCCATACCCTCCTCTACTAATTCTAAGGAGTGTAAATCAGCTCCTATTGAAATACTGAAAACAAAACTTGTAATTTTCCAATGTGGGACAAATTCAAAACTGGGTTTTGTAAGAGAAAAATTGATTTTTCAATCAAGTGTGCAGGTGCAATTTCTCATGTAATTAACCAATCAAACCCATTGGATTT